GAGAGAGAGAGAGAGAGAGAGAGAGAGAGAGAGAGAGAAAATCAAGTACTTATGCCAGACAATGTGCTTCTCTCTCTTTCCCACTGCTTCCTGGGTAAAATTTCCTTTATTTTCCTCCCGTCAAGCTTCCCTTCCATCAGCTGCTCTCCAGGTAGTCCCTTATTCTTGATGGACTCCTTGCTAATATTACATTTGGCCATAAAGGAACTAGTGATTTTTTTGATGCATATAACCAGAGTAATGGGTACTCAACAGGTGTGGGGAGCAGGTTTTCTGAACCAAAAAAGCCTCAGATGGTGAGATAAAAGCCTTGTCAAAGTGTACTTTCCTTTCTTAAACGAGCATTGTTTGGGGATGGTGGTTACCATATCATCAAGAGCCAGGAATGGGGGCAGGGAGGGGAGTGTCTGGAGAGACTAAAGGCAGAGTAAAGGCCCAGACACATATTTAGGAATCCTCCTGTGACTGAACTGCAGAAGAAACAGAAAAGTCATGGTTGGTCACTGCCCTTCCTCCAGTGGAACAGCATCCTACTGTTTGACCACATGCCTGGCAGGTGATGGACAGACTAGACATGTCTCCATCCCCACCCCTGAACCTCCTAGTGTAGGGCTGGAAAGAAGCAAGGAAATCATAGGGGAAAGTGTGAGAAGGCTAGCACAGGAATAAAATTAGAAAGAAAAGAGTAAAAATAAACTACGGCATTTCTCGACTCTTAATGGAGTAAAGAAGAAACATCTGCAGATACATACAAGAGGGAAGCAAGAGATCAGTCTGTGTCAGTAGACTTTATACTGGGTAGCAAGCTCATGCCCACACCCTTCTCACCCTCCATGCCAGCTCACCAAGTGCTTTCCAGCAAAGTGGCCCGGGGAAGTCGACTTGCCCTGCACTGTGGGATTAAGACTGTGGTCATTCACTTGGATGAAGGGAGACGCAGCATGCTTATCCAGTCTGCAGATGGCACACGGACTATTCAACAAGACCTCAATGGATTGGAATGCTGGGCTCAGTTCTAACAAGCCAACTTTAGTGTTGCCCGGCATTCAAGGACCTTCCCAATCTGGCACTCTTTGCCTTCCCAGACTTGGGTCGTATTATTCCCTGTTCATGCACTCTCTTCCTCAGACAAACTGGTCACTGCCCTGACCCCTCAAGACTTCCTGCATTTTCACAGCTCTGGGTTTTTTTTATGTCTTACAGGCCACCCTTTTCCTTGAGTCTGTACTCAACCAATTGGAATGGCCAACTGGAATGCTACCCCTTCCATGCAGGCTACCAGGATCCTCTGCCCAGGGGGCAGCAATCGCTTCTCTCAGGCCTTCCAATGCACTTAGATCTGTAACTTTATGACACTGCTATCACAAAATAGGATGTATTGTCGTTAGACATTTGTGTCTTATCTTTCTTAAGGGACGAGATAAAACCACTTCTTATCTACACTTATCTACATTTCCTCTAATGTTTGGCACACAGGAAGCGCTTAACAAATGTTAGTCCTACTGTCTTAGAATGTTTCTAATGTTCAAGGAAGGGCAGGCTGATTCTGCTGAAGTATACAAGAGCCTTAATAGCAGCCCTTCCCACCATGTTGGTGCCTAATAGTGGAACAGCCAGTGGCAGTGAAGATGAGAAACCTCAGCCGCTTCTTCACCCTCAGAGACCTCCCACTGCCTAGAGGAGGTTCTCATCTGTTCTTCTACCAAGAGCTCCTGTCCCCAGCTCAGGTTCCAGATGCCCAGGGGAGCTTCTATCTGGTTTTCTTCTGAAATGAGGAGGATGCATCCTTCAGTCTTCTGTGCACACCAACCTGCCATTGGCATCCACATGTAATAGTGTCTCTCCCTACAGGGTCTAAGTTAAGAAAAATGATGTCGATAAAAGTATATGCAGAGATATAAGGAAATCTAAGCAGGGCAGGGAGATTTCAGAAGAGACCAAGTTTGATCCTGAAGAGAAAAGCTGAAAAAGTGGTGCTTATGCCTTCTGGATGGCCAAGAGCTCTGGTCCTCCCTACCAAAGCAAGGCTGTTATATCCAGGCACCACTGTCTGAAGGAAACAAATCCCTAGGTCTGGTCTTAGAAGGAAAGATGCAGTTAAATGCACGCAGCTGAGAGCAACCCTAGGAGGAGATCTGGAGAGGGGAGAGGAAAAATACAAGAGTCCTAAGCAGGGCAGAGCCACCATGGGGAGAGCCCCCAGTGCTGCGATCTGCCCCAGCCCCGGTTGGCATCCTGCTGGGAGAGACGCAGAACTGAGCTTCCTGGCTTTTGCCCTGCCTAATGCTTGAGGGGTTGTTGTGGGGATGGACATGCTAGACATATCGATGTCAACCTAATCTGCTTTGTTTTTACCACAGCCATTCGAGCATATGCTCTCAGAAGAGACTTTTAAGGGACAGTTGGTAGTAGCTATGGGATGGGGCCATATAAGCCTGAGATTCCACTGAGGGGATGCAGACATACCTTCTAGATTTATGTGAAAACTGACCACAACCCAAAAAGGAGCAGAGCCAAAGGGTACTCTGAGCCAACCAGAGGGTGCCTAGGGGAAAAGTATCTTGTCAAGCTTGGTAAGAGGCACACAGCCCACCCAGCACATGAGGATGAGCTGGGAGCATCTACCTAAGCAGAAGAATGAGATACATGGATTGTCAACCATCTCTCTTAGGTTTGTAATTGTACTCTTTTTTAAGTGTCCTGCCCCTACTTTCCCAAGCCAACACTCTCTGTGCCACTGGTATACTCCAGGGTCACAACTCTCCTATGATCAGAGGGGTTATCAGTATCCCAATTTTTATAGAAAAAGGAACTGAGGCAGAGATTAAGTGACTGGACCACAGTCACAGCTAGTAAGTGTGTGAGGCTAGATTTGCACTCAGGTCTTCCTGACTCTGTGGCCAGCTCTCTATCCACTGAGCCACTTCTCTGTAAGCTAGACACAACCCTTCTGTTTCCAGTTCACCATACTGACATAAGCAGTCATTCACAGTCAAAGTGAGGTATCGAGTGTCTACCTAGAAAGGATGTGACTATAGGGCGATGGCGAGGAGCATGGTGGGCATGAGCAAACCGGACCTCATCACCAACAAGGAATGACACAAGAGATGTGGAATAAAGGATGTCATCAGAGGAATGGGTGACCAGGAAAGAAGAAGGGTCATCCAGGCGGCAAGCAGTCTGCATGCTCCGCTGGCCACCGTGCAATGCCAAGGTTGCTAAAGAAGGGCCCGCAGTGTGCTGGGTGAGCACCTGGGGCAGATTTCCAGGGGCACGAGGTCTCCAAATGGCTTCCAAGAAGAATCAAGATCTGCACTGTTGGTGGGCATGCTGTGATCAGGAGATCACAGAACATCTAATGTACTGGGGAGAAAAAGCAACCAGTGAGACCCAGGAGCTCAAAGAGAGGCTAGCCAGGAGTTGGCCATGGCCCAGGCCCTAAAGCCATCCCCCAAAGAAAGAAATTTTCTTTCAGGATTAAGGAGGTATATGATTATGTTAGTGGGACAGGCTCCAAATAAGAAGGCCTCCTTTCAGATAGTTAATTAGACATCTCTACCATTTTTACACTGATATAATTTAACTCACCTTGTGACCTTTGTAGGTATCCAGGTACTGTTCATTATACGAACAAGAGCATTTATGAATGTGACCTTCTTCTGTACCGGCCAGATAGATATTTGTGTCCTACAATGAGAGAGTAAGACAGATCTACCAGTGGCACGTTATCCTTGACCCCTGACCATTACAACCCAAGCTAAAAGAAGGCTAGACCAAGTAGGCTGCGTAATAAAATCTACTAGAGATTTCCAATTCATCAATTTTTTTTTTTTGCTTTTTGGTGAGGCAATTGGGGTTAAGTGACTTGCCCAGGGTCACCCAATTCATTAGTTCTTCAAGGAGTTATGAGGGTAGCTACTTTCTTGATCAACGGAGGTTGGCCCTAACCCCTGTCTAACTGGAGCTGGTTTTTGAAAATTGCTACATACGGCCTTCAAATTCATCAACCTTTAATCCTAATGTCATTGAATCTCTCTGAACTTGGCAAGGCCTTAGCAAAATTCAATTCAACAAATATTTCTCAACACCTCACCAGTGTGAGGCACTGGTAATACAACGACAGGAAACATCTTGTCCCTCAAGAAGCTTACCTTCAATTTCGTCCTTTGACAAGAGACAGGCCTCAAAGACTTTGTGGATCAGGGGGACCTTGTTTTTCTCTAACCTAACCTTCAAGGACCCAGAGTCGTGTTTTGTTTTGCTTGACTATGCATATTTGTTAAAAGAGTTGTTGTTTTTCTTTTTCAGTGGAGGGAGGGGGCAGGAATAAGTGGGAGGGAAAGAAAATAAATATTAAATATTAAAAAATATTTTTCGATAATCCGGGGTCATCTTTATATCGTGATGAGGCTTCAGAGTAGAAATTTAATAGAAGAAACTAAAAATACTGTTGAAAACATTTTCTATTCAATCAACTTTATCATTAAAAGAAAAAGCACTTATCCATATTGACATCAATGACCACTCATCAGTACCTAACCCTCTAGTCTCTTCTCATACTTGTGATTACACATTCAGTGGGTTTGGTTTTTCACACAGGTGGAGCCATTGTGACCATGGTACTTTGAGGGTCATTTTTCCATATATATCATATCCTAAACATTTTTCTACATTCCTAGGAAGTCTTCATATTTATCATGACATAAGGCAATATATTATTGAACTTGATAGCCTGCATTCCCTCTAGCCATTCCTAATCACAGTATACATCGTTTGTTTAGAGTTCTTTGCTCACGTCGATAGCACAATTATAAGCATCTTGGTGAGAAGTGTTCATTTTCTGTTTCTTCTGAATGATTTCCTGGTGCTCCATCCCTAACAGAGGCATTAACTGGTTAAAAGACATGGCGGCTTCTATGGCTCCACCTGCATGCGACCCATTACAAAAAGTGTTCATGTGGAAGCTAGAAACCATAGTTTAAAAAAGTGAAAGGTTTGGATTCAAGATAGGGTGTGGGGAGTATTAAACTTGATTATAGATCTCTAAGGCCAGAGCAAAAAGGGAGGAAGTATGCACATTTCTTCTAATCCACATCAGGTCTGACTTAGTGGCAGAGAAAAATTAAGGGGGCCCAGCCTTCCCTAGGTAATACTGATATCCCTATTAAATCAACTCTTGGTTTCCAAGCTATTGATGGATACAGCACAACGCACTCAAGTGTGACTTCCCAGAGGAGAGCAGTAAAGTTTTAATATAGCAGCCTATCATTAAATAGACAGACATCTATGGAGTGTAAATATTTGTTCTTGGTGAACAAGCCTGGATACAAATAAAAGTGAGAAGTGGTCCATCCACAATGGGTGGGTATTACTGACACTACCTTGATTTTTCTTAATAATTCCAATTATACACACACATTTTGAAATCCCCAAACGTAACGTACCATAAGATCATGCTTAATTGAATTAAAAAGTTAAAACACAAAATACATGCAACTTAGATTGCTGATTTTCCAATGAGAATGTTCCCTTCTTAGGAAAAGCATACATTGAAGATCTTCTACATTCCATGTTCATTCATAGAAACTGAGTTTTCCCTGATTCCGAAAATACTGTTTCAGCACTTCAGAAAATCTATGATTTCATCAGAGCAGGTAACTCCTCCACACTTTGGAAAACAGTTTCTTAAGTTGCTGTGACCAATGCTGGTCCTCTGATAACTTGGCTCCATTAGACTTACCCTCTACAATATACTGATTGTGTGACCCTTGACAAGTCACTTAAACCTCTTGGTGCTCCGGGCATCTTTCTAAGACTAGGAGAATGGGATCATTACAAGGGTTACAGGTCAAGGGTTGGAAGGACCTCAAGATCATCTAGCCCAACTTCCTAATTTTACAAATAAGCAAACCAAGAAGATGAATTAACTTGCTCAAGGTGGGAGAGCCATGATTACTGAAGATGAGTTGGGGAGATGAGGTCCATCTTCATTGGGCCCATCTTCAGAGAGAGAGAGAGAGAGAGAGAGAGAGAGAGAGAGAGAGAATGAAAGAGGGGCAGGGGCAGTTGCATTCATATTCTACTCCCTTGAGTCATCTCTGGCCTATACTCACCATGAATTCAGGAAGTTATCCTGATTTTTGTAGTCTTCAACTTTGACTAAAGTCTAGCAAATTACTACGGTATCATTTCGTTGGTACTAAGCATGGTAGCACTGTTAGGGGCTGCAGACACTAGCACAAGAGAGGCAAGGAAGGAGATTATGGAACCTTTCCTTTACTACTCAAGCACAAACATACCTTCCCCACTACAAACAGAAAGGGAAGAGGAGGAGCATACCTGGGTCCTTGGGTACTCCATCCACCTGAGTCTGGTAAATTACTTTGTTAATTATGAAGCCAAATAGTTATTGACAAACAGATTCATTCTTCAAATAATTTCATATTTAACTGCCAACTTCTATAAAAACAGCTTGAGGAATCCTACCCTGGGGTGAAAAGCAAAACACATTCCAGGAGCCTGCCGAGATATCAAAGCTTCGCTTTTCTTCTCTCTCTCATTTTCCTTTTTCTGCTTGTCCATTGATGTTCTCTTCAGTTTCATCAAATCTTTATTTAAAAAAAAAACATAAAATGAAGAAAGCAGATGCAAAAGAACAATACACATGCTCATGACTATATAAATGAAGATTAACAACAAAATGAAAATTAGCGACAAAATTCAGATTAAAGATGATGGACAAATGCTAGCATGATCTTGGGTTGAATTCAGAGGAACATAGTTCCACTTCACTCTGCCCTTGTCAGACCTCATCTGGACTACTGTGTTCGGTTATGGACAATATGGCTTAATGATAAACTGGAGAACGTTCAGAGGTGGTAACCAGAATGGTGAAGGGTCTCGACATGACATGAAGGGTCCATGACATAAGAGGATCTGTTGAAGAAACTGGGTATGTGAAGCTTAGAGAAAAGACTCAAGCAAGACATGAGAACCATACAAGTATTTGAAGGGCTGACATGGGGCAAAGGGATGATGTCCCTAGAGAGCGGAATCAGGAGCAGAGTGGACATTTCATAGGAGTTTTTTTTTAGACCCAACAATCTGAGTTGTTGAATGGGCTGTCTCTGGAGGTGGTGCGCCTTCCCCTCTTTGGAGAGCATCAAGCAGAGGATAAATGACTGACTCGTCGGACATGTCACGGTGAAGATCCGTTTTGTGCACGGGTTGGCCCAGATTGTCTGAAGTCCCTTCCGGGGCCTGTAACAATTCTGGGAATACTCTGTTCACACAGACACACACTTCTCCTGCTCCTTTCGATCAATCAACCAATAAGTTACCAAAAAGTGCCCAGTTCCACATGCTGAAAGTCATAAACACTGTTCTGCGTAGTTGCTTCGCTTAGTTTCCAGGAAGTATGCTTGGTGGTTTGTGTGTTTATGTTTATAATGTGTTACAATCCATCAATAAAAATGTAAAAAAAAAACAAAAAATGGCAGTTACTATGTCAAGGACTGAAATATCCTGCCTATGCTTAGGACACACTAACATACAATTCTCATTTTTAACAAGCAGCTAAGTTGAAATGACAATAATAAGTTTCAGTGAACCACATCTGGGTGCTTTATAAAAGAGACCTTAGTGCCAATTGCAGTCATTTTGAGCTCAGTTTACAGACTAGTAATTTTGATAATAGTCTATGTAAAAACTATAAAATTCCTTTTACCATGACAAATCAGTCCTTTCTGTATAACCCACTTGGAGATTCTTCCATCAGCCCCAACAGTAACGAGTATTTCCCTTTTTTCTTCACCTGCCGCTCCTCGGTCCTGCTCTACCCATTGGACTTGCCAAATTGGTCCAATGTGCTTCTGATGAAATTCACTAAAAGAAAAGAGTAGAGCAAACGTAAGATGTCTATAGCAGTAATACGTTGCCAGAGGGCATGTGGTTAGTGCAGCGGTCTAGAGAATAATGTCCCACTTAAATTATAAAATGACACGTTACAGAAAAATATTATGAAGATTAGGAATAGTGATTACTTTGTAACATCCATCCCAGATCATATTTCTCTACTTTCTTTAGCTTCTACTTGGGATATGGACGTAATTCAGGGAGTCATGATTTTATCAGGGACAATGGGGTAAGAGGTCTCCTTCTACCAAGGCAGATTGCAATCCTTCCTCAGTAGGTCTTCATGGGTTATTCAAAGATCTTAGCTTAAAAAGGCCAATGTCTCCCATTGCATCTGGGGCCATCTCCAGTCGTCCTGATTCATATCTTGCCACTGGACCCAGATGGCTCCGGAGGAGAGAGTGAGGCTGGTGACTTTGCACAGTCCTGCCTTGCTTAAATCCAATTCACTTGGAAGTCATGGCATCTCCTTCCTGATGTCATTGGTCCTCTTCCACAGGCATGGTAATCCCTACTTATCATGGCATTACAGTATTAAGCAATACCTTTAATCATGGGATCTAAGTGAGAAGTCACCGCCCATTCATTACCAGCAGGACAAAAACCTGTTCTTCATTCAGTAAGTCTCATGTGCCATGCAGGGTCCAGAACCATGGAGGGTCCAGTGAACTTCTTAGATATGTGGTGGATCGGGTTAAAGCCCTGGAAGAGCTCTGCATCTTAAGACCTAGGCCGGAACTTTCCCGGTGACCTTACAAGCACTTCTTTCCCAGAAGGGGTGCATGAACGTCTTGCCTTCTAAAGAGGAGGAAGTTGAGGCTTAGTACTGAATGACCAGCCCATTTCTCGCACTTTTATTAAAGATCATAACCCAAGGACTAGAGCCTGATGCTTAATAAAGGCTAAATCACCTCCAGATAGTGATGAGGCATCGCTGAAGAGCTTTCCGGAAAGTGAAATTCGATTAGTTACCATTACATGTTTAAAATAAACTTAATAACTTTCCACAAAAACAATCAGACAAGTGTGCAAAACAAGGGATAAAATCCTACCTCACCCCTGCCTCAGGCTCTAAAATCAAAAGGTAAAATCAAAGAGTCAACAAATAAGAAAAGAAGATGCTTTCTGTCACTTTCCAGACAGGTCAGAGATTGTCTCAAATGTGGTCCTGTTTTCTTCTCTTCTTTTTTTTCTTTTTCAATCTGGTGCTACTGATGTTTCCCTCTGCCTTACCACGCCATGATCGAGTCTGCCATCCTCCAAGGGTGAAACACAGACCTTGTTTCCAGTGTTTTATTCTTGCGAATAGAATGGCTAGAAATATCTGTGTTCAGATGGGGGCTTTTGGTCTTCACATGTTAGTAGAAAAGTCCTCACAACAGAATTGCCGATTCAAAATGTATGATTGGTTTTATTACTCTTACTGAATAGCACATATGATTCTCAGAAAAGTTTATGTCAGTCTGTCATGCTATTAACAATGTATTAGCATGATTGTTTCCATCCACTAACAGTGGATTTTTTTCATCTTTTTTTTTTAAGGCAATTGGGGTTAAGTGACTTGCCCAGGGTCACACAGCTAGTAAGTGTCAAGTGTTTGGTCTGAGGCCAGATTTGAACTCAGATCCTCCTGACTCCAGGGCCAATGCTCTATCCACTGCACCACCTAGCTGCCCCAATTTTGTCTTTTTTTAATAAATATTTTTCCATTCTAGTGAGTGAACATGGTGTCTTTTTTTAAATTACATTTTATTTTTTTCAATCAGCAAAAATCTTTCTTCTCTACTTCCACCTCCCTGCCACACAAATCAAGAACCAAAGAAAAATAAAGCCTATTACAAACCTGCATAGTGAAGCAAAACACATTTCCACATTGGCCATGTCCAAAAATACACACATACATGTATATATGTATCTATGTTTAATATGCATGTTATCTTTACAATATTAACATATTACAACATTACAAATATTACAGAATTATAATATGACAATATGACAAATATGTGTTACATACATATATACATATACACACATACACATACACACATGCATACATACCTACGTACATATATACTCATTCTGATTCTGTTCACCTCACTTTGCATCAGTTTACGGAAGTCTTCCCAAGCTTCTCTGAAACCATTCCTATCAATTCTTATAGCACAAAAGTATTCTATCACATTTAAATAGCATAACTTATTCAGCCATTTCCCAATTGATGGGCACCCCCTCCGATTCCAATTCTTTGCTACCTCAGGAAGATCTGTAAGTATTTTTGAACAGTTTGTCTGTAGAGTTTATTTTGGTTAGGTTTGTTTTATTTAATCCCTCCTTTTTAACTGACCCTGTCCCCTTTCCCTCCTATTTTCCTGTAGAGTGAAATATATTTCTGTACCCATCTATGTGTATATATTCTTCCTTCTTTTAACCAGTTTAGGTGAGAGTGAGATTCAAGTGTCACCCATTCCTCCACACCTTTCTCCTTGTTTGTATCGATTTCTACTTATGCACCCCAATAGTGTGAGATGATTTCCCCTCATCTTCCTTTTCTTTCATCTAAGTGTTCTTCTTCACCTCCTTTTCTATTCTTGTTTTAAAATCATCAACACATGACAGAGCCTCTTGCAGACTTTCATTCTAATGAGATTCTCTCTATGACTCCTGATGATGACAGCTCAAAGGGGACACAGGTAGCATTTTCCCATATTCGAATATACACAATTTATCCTTGTTTAGTCCCTTACGACATAGTTTACTTTTTATTTTTTTTTCTTAGCTCCTATATTGCAACTTCAACATTTCTCTGAAGCTCTAATCTTTTCATTTGGTATGTTTGGAAGTCCTCTCTTTCATTAAACGTCCATTTTCTCCCTGTAGGTTTTTATTCAATTTTACTGAGTAAGTGATTATTCTTGACTATAAATCTATATCCTTTGCCTTCTAGATTACTGTATTCCAAGGTCTCTGCTTCTTTATAGGGGTGGCGGCTAGATCCTATGTAATCCTAATTGTGACTCCTTGGTATCTGAATTCTTTTTTTTCTTTTCCTGGTTGCTGGCAGTGTTTGACCTGGAAGCTCTGGACTTTGGCTACAATGTCCTTGGGAGTTTTAGTCTGGGGGTTTCTTTTGCAAGGTGACTGGTGGATTATTTCAAGTTCTACTTTGCCTCTGTTTCTCAAAGATCTAGGCAGTTTTCTTGTAAGATTTCTAGGCTCTTTATTTTGGTTGTAATTCTTTTTTCTTTTCTGTTTACCGGGTTGTTTGCTTTTGCTATGAGATACCTTATTTTTTTCCAGTTTTTTGATTTTATCTTAATATTTCTTGTTGTCTTCTATTTGGCCCATCACAATTTCAGGAAGTTTGCTGCCTGAGCAAGGCTTTGTACCTCCTGTGCCAGACGGTTAATCCCCTTTCCAATCCTTTCTTCTACAGCTTTCTTTTCCAGTTTTTCCTCTAGTGCTCTCATTCCATAAAAAGAAAAGAAAAACCAAAAACACATCTTAAAACTTTTAACAAATTCTTGCTCCATCTCTTCTAGGAACTACAGTTGAATTTCCAGTGATGCCTTGCTTTTCTTTGAAGTCATTCTCTTCTTCTGGGTCCTGAGCTTCCCTGTCACCATGACCACTCTTTATGGGGGGATTCGATTTTTTGTTTTTGTTTTCTCCTTCTTCCGGCCTGTTTCCTGACTTCGGACTTGATATAAATGGTGGATGCTGCACAGATCTTCCCTGGGCGAGTGCTTTGGTGCTTTCTTGGGGAAGTGGGTGTTGCAGTATTCCAGGCTCTCAGGGACAGTTCATGCTGGGCTTTCAGTGCTCCCAGAGCGGCCTGCTTCTGGGCAAAGTCTGATCACTGCCCCCTCTGTTCTGTACGCTCTTGACCTGGCTCGGGGTCTGCCTAACACTGGACTTCTACAGGACTCAGCCACTCAAGTAACAGAAGTACAGGCTTCTCTGGTCTGGGATTGCTGCCTGGTTAATCCTCTGCATGCTTCTGACTGGGCTAGAAGATGGAATTGAGACGCCCTACTTTTTTCCTGGGGTCATCTGAGTCGTTCTGCTACTGCTTGCTCCTTAACCATCTCCTCTCAGTAACAGCCCCATGCCCATGACTGCAATTACTCCTTACCCTGGATGTGCGCCCCTGGGCACAGAACCTCTCCTCAGGCTGTCCTGGACCTGTGGCCCAGAATGAGGTAATGGATGACAGAGTTGCCCAGTGGCACCTGTTACTGCGCTGGACATGAATTTAAGCCTCTCTATACTGGGTCTGGAACCCTCCTTGTCCTGGTACACAGTCACTGCCTGGGTGCTGGAGCGTTCCTCAGGGCTGTGCCCGGTCAGACCCCATTCCCAGTGCTCACAGACCTCTTTGTCTCTCTCCCTATGCTGGTCTGGCCTGGCTAAAATGACTCCTTACTACTTTTTGTTGAATTTTCTGATCAGAATTCAGCCTGGTTGATTTTCTAGATCTCTTTTGGAGAGTTTTCTTGTGGGGTTGGGTGGGGCATTTGCTGTATTTCTTTCAGAAGTTACTCCATCCCTTAGATTCCTTCCCTGAAATTACTTTTCATGTCTCACCCATAGAGCTTCTTACTCAAATGTAAGAGTATGTAACAAATTTATCAAATGTAACAAATCAAACAAACATATTCAAACCAATCAAATATAGCAAAATTTCCCCCAGTAAACCAACCACTCCTTCCAGTTCTCCTCCTCTTATATTCAAGGGTTTCTTGTTAACTCGGTTTTCCTTCTACTTCGAATTCTGCTATATGTAAAAATTAAAATCTTTGCAATTACAGGTATGTCAGGATTCTTGGTTGGGGGACTCAGGTCCGACTCGAAACATTTTAGTCTTGACTTAGAACTTTGATCTCTAGCTCTGGCAAAGGGCATTCAGACTCCTGGTCTAACAAAACCACCAGCCTAAGGCTGGTCAGTGAAGGCTCTGGGTTGGTTCCAAAAATCCACTGATGCTCAGTGAACTCCTCCGTGAACTCATGTGACTTTCTGACCTGTCTAGTAAGATTCTAGGGGGATCTCACCTTCTGATTCACTTCTTAATCACAGATTCATGATCTTTCACAGTGCCCCTTCACAATATCAACACTCTTTTTCCCAGATGCATTCAGATGAATAAGTCCATCAAGGCAGGAATTATCCTCAGTCCAGCCTTACCCGCCATCTAACTCAGCGAGATACCAACAGTGAGTGACACCTCCTGCCTTGTATTTCTTCAGCTTGGTGCTAAGAAGGTTCGGCAGAGTGAAACACAAAATGTGTATTACACGTCTGAAGGCCTCCATAGCCTGAGCGCATCCTTTAACTAGGACCGTAAGTGCAGCCTCACACATTTGGAAGAGGGTAGAGCAAACTTCGCCTGCTGTATAGACAAGAGTAAGCTCTTCCTGGATCTCACCTACTGTCCAGGACAGGAACTCTATTGTTGTTCTGCACATTGTAGATGGCGATGGTACCATTGTAAAACCCAACAGCCAGAAGATTCGGGGATCCTATAGAGAAATCCACAGACGTCACCCCATGGAGACTCGGATAAACACATTCTGGCCACTGAGCAAAAGAAAACAAGGCTGTGGTTAAGACAGTTATAGTCTCTTATCACTAAACTACTAGCTGAATTAAAAAAAAATTAATAGGTGAGCAATTGCTATAATTTTTTAAATCACATTTTTAAAAAAATTAACAAAAGTCTATTTTTCTTCTTCCTACCTTCCCATTCCATAAGAAAGAAAGAAACAGAGAGAGAAGGCAGAGAAAGAAAGAAAGAAAGAGAAAAAAGAAAGAAGAAAGAAGAAAGGAAGGAAGAGAAAGAAAGAAGGAAAGAAGGGAGAGGAAAAAGAAGGAGGAAGGAAGGTGAAGGGAAGAAGAAAGGGAGAAAGAAAGCAAAGAAAAGAAGAGATAAAGAGACAAAGAAAGAGGAAGGAAAAGAAATACAGACAGATAGACAGAAAGGGCAATTCCTTGTAACAAGTACAAATAGTTAGGCAAAACAAATCCCTTCATAGACCATGTTAAAAAAAAACAAAAAACAAATGAAATGACTCCTTCTGCACCCTGAATCCATGACCTCTCTGTTAGTAGGCAGATAGCATGCGTCATCAATGACCCTCTAGAATCATGAAGGTCATTATAGTGATCAGAGTTCTCACAACTTTCAAAGCTATTCTTTCAGCGTGTTGTTATTATATAATCTGTTCTTCTGATTCTGCTCATTTATTTTTCATCAATTTATACAAGTTTTCAAAATGGTTTGTTTTTAGAACATCAGTGTTACAGAATGAATGACTCTTCTGGTTATACTCACTTCACACAAGTCTTCCCACGTCTCTGAAATCATCTATTTCCTCCGTCTTACGGCACAAGAGCATTCCATTCCATTCATTAACCACAATTTGTCAAACCATTCTACTCATTTTTCTAAAGTTCTGAAAATGTCTTCCTCCTCATGTTATCAATGGTATGTTTTGAAAGAGACGTTCCATATGCATCTCAAACTCAACATGTCCAAAACAGAGCTCCCTCTTTCCCAGCCACACCCTCATAGCTTGTGTCCCAGCTTTTCTGAAATGAGAGTCGAGAGTTTGCCAGTCCTCGAAGACATGTGCTTGCCCCCATTATACCTTAACTACCCCTACCGATATCACAAACTTCCTATAAATCAAAGTGATAACCTTCCTATTGCAAGTCAACCTGTCAAAAAAGCATTTATTAAGCACCTACTATGTGCCAAACATTGGGGATACAAATGCAAAAGTGAAGAGATGATACCCTTGAGATGTTAGAGGAGACAACATGTACATATGGAGATAAAATCAATAAAAGATCCTTCGGGGAGACGTGAGGGGACCGAGCAGCTGAGCGATCAGCAAAGACTTCACGCAGAAGGTGAAGCTTTGGTTGAACCTTGAAGGAAAGTGGGGATTCCATGAAGTGGAGGTGAGGAGTGAGTGTGCTCCAGGGATGAGAGCTAGCCAGTAAAAAAGTACGGAGAAAAGAAAGGGGGGCTTCATGTCAAAGACGGGGTTTTAGTGAAATCATTGCATCCATTGGTAGACTGGCATGAAAGCTGCAAGCAGGAACAGGCATGATTTAGAAAGGACACACTGGCAAAGGGCCAGGTTTGCCTTATAAAGAAGAGCCGGAGTCATTCCAAGCACCTACTGCTCACCGTCCCTCCAACAACACACTCTGTCCCTCGACCAGCATTTTCCTCAGTTGTCTTCCATACCTGTGATGATCACCCGCCTCATCTCCACCTTTTGGCTTCCCTGGCTTCTTCTAGATCCAGATAAAATTCTGCCTTCCAGAAGAAGCCTGTACTGGCCCCCCTTATTGCTAGTGCCTTCCCTTGTTGATTATCACCAATTTTTACTGCGTCTACCTTGTTTGTAAATATTTATCTGCATGTGGTCTTCCCCATTAGACTGTGCCCTTCTTGAGGGCAGGGACTGTCTTTTACTTTTCTTTAAGGGATCCCCAGAGTTTAGCACAGTGTCTGGCACATAGGTAATGAATAAATGTTTGCCGAGTGACTGATATGAACGTCCTATCTATGATTCCTCTGATAAGAAGTAAATGCCACTTTCCTTCCCTATATGGAGGCTGTTTGCTAAGAGGCAAAAAGAAATTTGATGTCAAAAAGACTGATACCACCATTTTATTTTTATGCATTATATAAATAGATGCAGCAATAAATAAGTACATGGCAGATTTTAAAAGAGCAGCATAATTTCCCAAATGAAATGCAGCCTGATCTTTTCCTACTTAATTTTGGACTCAGCTCACTGGCCCTATGAAATGCCAGTCCTCAGGGTATGGACGGGTGTATTCACTTGCTAAGATCTGACCATCCAACTGTGATTATCAAAAACAGACATTATTCATCCATTTGGTTTTTCCTGTGTGGATGGTTAGGACAATACTTTGGAGTGCTTGTAGATCTCCCTGAAGAGATCCTGTGGGGCTTCGTGTGATCAGAACACTGTCATCCTTAAACAGGAGGGCCTGGAGGGCCTCACCATCTCTTAAGAATCCTTTTGCCTTGTATATCCTGTAATATACACTTTCTTAACCCAAGGTCTGTGAACTCTTTCTTTTAAATAAGTATTTTTGTAACTTTTAATATTTTGGTAACTATATTTCATCATTATTGCATAATAACAGCAAGGGGAAAAAGGGAGTAAGCATTTCTACAGTGCCTACTATGTGCCAGGCACTGGGCTAAGCACTTTATAAATATTATCTCATTTGATCTTTACAACCACCCTGGGAGGGAGGTGCTGTTATTATCCCCAACTTGTAGTTGAGGAAACTGAGGCAGATGGAGGTTGACTGACTTGCCCAGAGTGTGACAGGATCCTAGATTTAGTGGCAGAAGAGACCTTAGAAGCCACTGCATGCAGCTCCCTCATTTTACAGGTGAGAAAACCAGGAAGCCAATCTCCTTGCCCAGGGTCACACAGATAGTAACAGTCTGAGGCTGGATTTGAACTCAGGTCCTCCTGACTATAGCCCTAGCACTCTGTGCTCTATGGGGCCACCTAACTACCTCTTGTGTTACGGCCTTACATGCCTCACAGCACTATTAGGTTCCCAAAATTCCTGACTTCTCTTACATCATATATCTTCACAATAACCCTGGTACGGAGGTGTCATTGCTATCCCCTCCTTGCAGATGAGGAAACAGAGGGATAAATGGTTTGTCACACAGCTAAAAATCCTGATCAAATGATGCATTGGCCAGGGCTCAGTGGGAAGGAATTGCGGTTCTTCCCTTCCAAATCCCAGGATGCTTTTTTTTTTTTTTTTGCTTTTTGGTGAGGTAATCGGGGTTAAGTGACTTGCCCAGGATCACACAGCTAGTAGGCGTCAAGTGTTTGAGGCCACATTTGAACTCAGGTCCTCCTGACTCCAAGGCCAGAGCTCTATCCACTGCGCCACCTAGCTGCCCCTCCCAGGACAGTTTTTTGACAAATTCAGTAAACCTAAAATCATCTGATCTACTTCATTGCTAAGCAGCCACACCAAAAGGATAAGTGAGTCAGGGTGGGAAGACTAGAAAACAAGACACCCAGAGCAACCCAAGCGCAAAAGAAACAGGACTTTCGATGGCTTCATTTGACTTCCCACAATTAGCACAGATTAGCAGAAATAAACAATATACTTTTCAAAAAATAATAAATGTGCTGCGATTATTAGGGATTCGACCCACAGAAAATCCATACAGGGAAGTCTCCATTGGTAACCTCCTAGTTACAGGAATGATGTCAACTTTTAATAAAGCAAATAAAAAAATTTTCCTCTTGCTTGTGGTCTTACCATTGGATTCTTTAGTGACCAGCAGCAGGCCAGTCCTCTCTTCTGCTCTCTGAAGCCAAACTGGCCATAACCAACAGCCAACAGGTCCTGAAAAACAGAAGGAAAGATTGCAAATCAAGACGCAGCTGGCACAGAAATAAGGCCAAATGCATTACTCTTCTAAAGAGTTGTTCTGACAGCTGCATTGGCTTAAGCCATGGCACATCAGACTTTTTCAGATGCCTTAAAGATAGCAGCAGAAGGGCTTGTAAGCATAACAAAATTATTTATAGCATAAATTGAAAATCATTTAATAAAAGTTGTAAGTCACTTAAAGAAATAGACATAGAACATGCCTAGAACATTTGTATATACTAGTCATACCCCTCCCCCTACCCATGAGTACACACTCTCTGACATTTGCATATTCAAACTCTCAATTTCATAATGATTCATCATTTCCATTTGAAAATCTAAGAACTGAATTTGAACAGATTTAAAATGTGACTAGGGCCTTGTTAGATATCAGAGATGGCATACAAAAAATGTTTCTTGCAGCACAAATCCATATAAATTACGTAGAAAGGAGATCTAATTGAAGTATTCACATTTGTTACACAAGTTTCAACACAGATGATCAGTTTCTAAATTATAATAACCGTAATAAAAGATTCTGGAGGCATAAAACACCTTATTATGTAACAATTTAAAAATAAGACAGCTGTTTTGGGGGGCTGTCTGCTCCCCTACTCCCTGTACCGTGGGAACGTTGGAGAGAGAACTAATTAGGTCAATGGGCTGCCATGACACAAAACATTTTGGAGACTTCTGTTCTGAAAGGACCTGACCAGGCATACAAGAAAATTCATCTCTTTGCTTTAGAAGGAGGGTCTTTCATCTTTTTGTGGGCAGTAGTCCAGGGAAACCTAAGGTGGATCCCTTCTCAGAATCATGGTTTTAAATGCATAAAACCAAGACAAAGAAAAGCAATTATATTAAACTACAATCATCAAAATATTTTTTAAAAAAATTACCGGAGCCCAGGCTAGAAACCCTTCAAGAACAGAACTAAAGTGTTATCACCCTGCTCTCCTACCTAGTTCATTCATCAGACTTGACTTAACATGGTTTTTGGACTCTTCTAAAAAATAAAATCTATTTTCAAAGGATAGAAATTTGCCCCTGTTGAGGCTATTCAGAGTAACCTCAATGTGCTAGTTCATCTATAATTCGTAAGCATTAATCAAGCTTTTACTGTGTGTGGCAGCGAGAATATAAAGAGAAAAATGAAATACTTGTCCTCAAGTGGCTTATATTCTACAGGAGGGGAAACCAAATGTAAAAATCTAAGTAAGTAAAGATATGTGAACAGTAAACATGCTGAAGGGGACGCTAGAGACTGGGGAGAGTGGAGCCAGGAAGGCCTCATATACATAGTGAGCAGAGCTTGAGATGAGCTTCTGGGAAGGCAGGGATTCTAAAGACAGGAAGGATATTTCAAACACCACAGACAATCTGAGCAAAGACCCAGAGATGGGAAATGAAATGTGTCAAGAAAAGCACATAATTATTTTGGCTGGGCCACCGATTACATGAAGGGAAAGAGTTCTCAAAAAGGCTTTGGGCTTTTTTTTTCTTTTTGGAATGTGAGTAAGGGAAGCATTGTTGGAATAAGTGTATTGCCTTCCAAGGGAACTAATCTGAAGGTGGGGACACTCAAATCATTTGGAGGGATAAGTGCTAGTATAGTTCTTAAAAATAATCTTATTGCTTTACTTGGTATAATCTGAGAAGGTAAAATGGAGCCTAATTGAACCAACTTTCTGGTATCCTTCCTGAATGGTGACTAATATTCAAATTAAAGTATAGAAAGTCCGGAGTATCTGTTACAGAAAGGGGGGGCAGCTCCTACAGTCGGATTGTCCAATTCACCCGGAACAACCATGGTCACTATCAACAGAAGCGTGAGCACCTGGACAGTGCCCAAGCAGCGCCTGCCTCAAACCCTTCTTAGGAAAACGCTGCTGGGAATGGACACACGTCCCCGTTTTCATGGGGTTCTAGCTTCCTGACCCTGGGGATTTGCCAGTCTTCCTTCCTGCTCAAGGCTGGAGGCCAAGAATGCCTGATTTGAACCCCTGCATCCTGGAGATGATTTCCAAAGACAATCTGCTAACGTACCGGGTTTGCTTTATTCCAGGCCATGCTGCTCACATTGTGTCCTTTTGTGAGGTCACAAGAAAACGACCACAGTCGTTCTAGATTGGGTGGGATGGGTTCTTCCGAAGCCTCCACTGACTCCTCTTCCGTAGCTTCTGTATCTTCGTCATCCTCGCTCTGCTTAACTTTTTGCACTTGGGGATGATTCTCCTCTTCTGTTTCTGCTTCTTCCTTGCCTAAGGCACAGCCAAAAGAATTTTTTTTTTGGCAGGGTAAACAACTAAGTCTTAGGTTTATTGTTTTGACAATCATATAATGGCCAGATTGGAAGATGAAAAAGAATACAAGATCTATACTATTTTGGGCCATTAAAAAAGCATTTGATTCAGTAGAGTAAAATTCTACCCCCTTCACAAAGTAGCTCCCAGGCATATTTCAAAAGTAGACAAGATTTCCTTAAAGATAGAACAGAGATTAACATTTTTCAATGACCTTTTGATCATTAATATCAAGTAAAGAATACTACAGGGAGTCACAGATTACCACATTCATTTGCCAATATGGAGGTGACTCAGTGTAGAATCCAAGTTAAAGAGGGATTTCCTATAGATTATTTCAAGTCAGTGTCCCAACTCCCTTCCCCACTCCCAGCTTCGGGAACAGATCAAAGGGTTTTTTAGGTCACTGAGAGGTGGGGGAGTAGGTACACTGTACTGTCACTCTCTCACCAATCTCCTCCCTGGGGCCAAAGGTTCTCATCCACAACCCTCTCTCCCTACTGTGAATGCCTTCTTGGGTAGCCTATAATAACCAACAGCACTTCTATAGGACATCTTACTGTTTTCAAGTCCCCCACCTCCCACCCCAGTTATCTCTCTTGATTATCTATCTCGATCATCAGAAGTGCTCCAGGAGGTAAGCAAGGCTGAGATTATTATCTTCAGCTAAAAGAATTTTTAAAAATAGATGTATGTATACATACATACATACATCTATATCTACATGTGTTACATACATGCATACATAAACATGTACATATATATTAAATGGGGTTGCCAAAACCCAACACTGTGTCAAATACCGTCCACAAATGAGAAGCAGCTCTTTTACTGACTCAAACAAGGTCATCTTACAAAGCTGCCATGAAAGAATAAGTAGTTGGATAGAACTAACCAAAAAACACTTATTTAATGTGGGAATTTTTGTTCCCTCCTCCTGAAATACAGCTTGGATAAAGAATGCTTCCTGAAAACACGGCTGGTGTGTGTTATCCCTACCCTGTAATTAACTCAATTAAGCGAGCTTAAACATCAAAGTCGCTGCTTAGACACCTGGAACTCTACCTAAATTCAATAGGGTCTCCTTTAAGAGACAGCAAAAGCTGTTTCTATTGCTAAAATATCATTTCACTTGTTAGGTTTCCAAGTAGGACAAAAAAGACTAACCACAAACTGGCAAATGTTTATATTTCATTAAAATGTGCCAGTTTGTGTAGAAAATGCCAAATGAGGCAGTGAATATGTAAGCTGCTCAGGGGCATCCATTACACAACGAACAAGAATCACTCTTTCCCATGGTCGTTTTGGAGACTTAGCAAGTTTCTAAAGGGGTTCTCCTGGGTCAGGCCACCAGGAGGTCGGTACTCTTGGCAGCAAATCGGAACAATGAAGCAAGAGCCAATTGGGTAGGAAATTCAGAAAACTGAAGAACAGGGCAGGAGCCAGCAGATTTGAGTGGTAGAGGAGACTGGACAGTAAGACTTCAAGGAGGTAAGGTCAGCTACGGCTAGTAACGGAAGACTTGCGATGCAAATGCTGGAGGAAGAGGGTGGCCTAGTGGGGCAAGCATCAGCAGGTGGGAGATGCTGGCCTCTCCTTACCTTCACCTCTACTAGACATAGCTCCCTCCCCCTGCCAGGCATGGATGGCATCTATTCTCTCATTAATATGGTTCTATGACTTATCACCTTTATTTAATAACAGATTATACTATCTGTTCTACATTTCAAAAGCAAGTTAAGCTTTTTTTTTTTTTTACACTTTTTTTCCTCAGCAACTAGATGACACAATGGATAGAGCAGTGGACTTGGGAGTTAGGAAGACCTGAGCTCAAGGCAGGCCTCAGACACTAGCTTTGTGACCTTGGCCAAGTCACTTAACCTCAGTTCCTTATCTGTAAGATGGGAATAATGATAGCACCTACCTCCCAAGGTGGTGAGGCTCAAATGGGATAAGAGATGCACAGTGCTTGTCAAAGCTTAAAGATCTATGTATGTGTGCGTGTGTATCTTTATATATGTGGGTATGTATATAACATATATGTATGTATATGCACATATATGTACGTGTATATATATTATATACATAATATAAATGAAAAACATCTTATACGTGCTAGTTAGCTATTCTCACGACCTCCTAAAACTTAAGGTTTTTTTACCTATATGGATGTCTCAACTGATTATTTTTCCTGTGAATCAGCATCTCTCAAGAGAAAAAAAAAAGTGGGGGTGGGGAGCAGTGTCTACCACTGAGGACCTAAAAGTCTCCATTTTAAAAATTCTGTTCATTTAATATGCCTTCCCAAAGTCTGGCCTTTAGAGATATTACCAGGGAAAATAAATATGACCGTATCCTTCATTCAAACATCTTACGACACATCACACAATACCGAAAGATAACGGAGAAGGCCACTTGAGGGAATTAGAAGGTTATATAAATATAAGTTACCTAACTATCCTATAATTACAATGTTATATATAATTCTAACCCAAAAATCTTTTTTCTTCTTCCCTCTAACAATAAGAAGAAGATCTTGTATTTATATAGCACTTCAAAGTTTGCAAAGCAGCTTCACAGCATCATCCTAATCTGTCCTTTGATCTTACATGTTTCTTGACTGATCTTCACAACCGCCCCGCTGGCAAGGACTACAGGCGCTGTTCTCCCCGTTCTACAGAAGACAACACCAGAGACTTGGGTCCCACAACTGGTAAGTGTCAGAGGCAGGATTTGAATCTTATCGAACTCCAAGTGACCCATTTCTGCCCCAAGGCCACGCTGCCGCCTCTCCTCGAGTCCCAATCTTCTCTCTTCTCTCTCCCTTTCCAGGCCAGTGCTTGCATTCCCCAGCAAGCACCTGTGGGTGTGGACTAGCCACATCTTAGAGCTGGCTCCTGTTCTTCCCTAGCAGGAAATGCATCATCCCACCTCGGACCCCTGCTACTTGTGGGCCCTTGACTGAGCCAGGCCCTTCCCCTCCTCCCTGGGCCTCACTGTTCTCATCTCTACAGTGGAGAGTTTGATCTAGATGGCCTCAGAAGCCCCTTCCAGCCCTAGGTCAGGGTCCTTCAAGCCCTGTCCCTCCTTACCCACCTTCAGGTGGTTTGCAAGGCACTGTCTATGTTTGAAGGATCTCATGTGATTTTCTCAACTACACGACTGCAACATGGTCAGGGCAGGGCACTAGTCAGCGGCAATGCTGAGACAGGAACTCCTAAAAGAAGCTGTCCCTCCCTGTCGCCTCCATTTCCTCTCTTTTCATCCACTTCCCAGCCCTTCTGCCCTGGCTTCTGACCTCATCATTCCACTGCTGAGGCCAGATTTGAACTCAGGTCTTCTTGACTCGAGGTCCAGCGCCCGACCCACTGCACCACCAGCCATCCCCTTTGCCTCCTCTCTCTTCCTGCTACAGCCCACCTACGAGGTGTGGTTCTAACTACCATGTTCTGACTTCCAACGTCCTCAGTCAGTGTACACACTCCCATCAGATTTTGGGAACAAAGATAGAAAATGTCACCCTCTAAAACTGAAGCAAATGTCAACACAAAATGCAACAGATGAAAACAAGAACCCACTTTATGAAATCACTTATAAGTGGGTCAAATAAGACCGAGGTCTTCTCCTAAATCTCATTAAGTAAAAAGTGTTTCCCAAAATCCCAATCAGGGTGACACTCACCCAAAATGCAAAAAGAATAAAATAATCTGCAATTAATTAGTTGAAACAAGTGGGGTGGCACACTCTCCCCCCTTCCAATCATCATCCCTCTGACTACCTAGTCAGACATGCCTCTCTTACCATCACTTCCCTCAATGTTTTGTCTTCCCTAATTAAAGTGTAAGCTCTTTGAGGGTAGGAACTATCTCACTTGCTCGTATTTATATCATATATATGTGTGTGTGTGTATATATATATATACATATATATATATATATATATATGCATATAGCTCAGCACAAGGCCTGGCACATAGCAAGCACTTAATAAATGCTTTTGTCCATTACTTTTTAACCATATAGTGGAAGGAACACTGGATTTTGAGTCAAAGGCCCTGGATTCAAGTTATGACTGCCATCTAACTATCTCTGTGACCATGGGCAAGTTGCTTAGCTACTCTTGCCCTTAGTTTCCTCACATGTAAAATAAGGGTATTGGATTAGATGAACATGGAGATCTCTCCCAGGTCTAAATCTGTGAGCCCATGGCCAAGGCAATATTATATATTTGTAGTTGGTCTGGAGTCTAGGAAAAAAAAATAAAAGGCAAGGGTTAGAAATCATCCCTGTGTGTTATAACAATGATTTCAAACCCAAATCTAGTTGTTTCACATTGACGTCACCAACCTCTCTGGAGGACTGATACCTGAATCTTTGTTTTTATTCCAAAAAGATGGGCCAAGCCAGTCATACTTTTGGACAGAGCTGCCTGAGGTCTCCTTGATGCCCAGGCCTGGAGATAGCGTTTAGCCACAACTGACTTTGTCATTCAGTCATCTGAATGCTCTGCTCAGCCTGGAGGGAACGGTCTAGCCAGGAAACCAGGGCCAGCTCTCCTACTGGTGGCCAGAAATCTCTCCTTATCTGGGACAACCTCATTTTCAAGGAAAGCAAGTGTACTTTTGACTAATCTTTGTAAAAAGACTACCCTTTGTCAGACATTTTGCTATTTCTTGGTTTGGAAAAGAGGGTCATGGTATATATGTTTCCCATCATACATTTTGCAATTTGGCCTCTTGAATGGACTAATTAGAAGAAGAGCCAGAAGGGACCTTGGAGGCATTTAGTCCAACACCCCCATTTTACAACTGAAGAAACTGAGGCTTAGGGAGATAACATGACCTGACCCAGGTCATGCCATCAGTATTATGTGTCAGAGGGAGGATCTGAATGTGGGAGTCTAGAGTCACTGCTTTCTCCGCCATAACTGTATCATGCTTCCCATTGTAAATCCTAGTACCCTAGTACTGTGGCTGTCATTCCCATAATACCAGGAGTCACCAGTACTTGGTTTATTTTTTGTTTTGTGAGTCAATCAATCCCACTGGGCCTGATCACCCACGGGGGAAATCACGAAATTAAGTTTCTGACCTTGCAAAAATTGTGGATCCAAACACTTGTGACTACATCCTGCTCAGTGGAGCTCAGAATGCCTCGCCCACCAACCTGCCTCTCTGACGCCATTTTTGTTTTCAGGTGTGCTTTTCATTACTTGTACGCATTCCAATTCTGGGCTGCTCATTTGACTTTGTATTCCTTAATCCAACCTAACTGCCAGCTTCCAGGCAATTTTTCTGGGTCTGACTCCCTTCTGAGCTTGCCCCCAACCCCTACACCAAACCCTACAGTACCAGGCTTACATTGGTTCTTCAAATCCTGGCTTTGAGTCCTGGCTTCATGAGCCACTGATGTCCTTCATCTAGTACTAAGCGCTCTATAAATCCTCCTTGCCCCTGTTAGAATGTGAGCTCCTTGAGGGCAGGCACTGTCTTGTGGTCCTTCTCTGTAACCCCAGTGCTTGGCTCAGTGGCTGGTGCTTAATCAATCCGTGTTCTTTTTAACAGGATTCAAGGTTAGGGTATGGGTCAGACTGAGTGTTCACTGAGTGTGTACTCCAAAGAGTGCAGCTCTATGATTTTATAAATACAATTATCCCTTCCAAGTCTTCCCCCATCACAGTTTCGATATATTGCAGGTCAGTATAAGAAATTAAATGGGAATTTTGGGGAGTTTTCTGGAATCCGTAGATGATATGCAAAGGCCAGCAGACAACATAGAGCCTATGACCAAATACTTAACCCAAATTTTGTAATAAAGAACTATAAACACCCCATAAAAGAAAAAAGATTCAGACTTCTTTGGTGTGAAGGGAAGGCCAAAAAAATTTTATGTGGATTTTCCAGATAGCCAGAGTTCCACACCCCTAACCCCCACAATGTGGAAAGGATAATTATACTATTAAAATTACACAGTTAAATTAAACAATTAAAATTTGCTGGTCAAGGTGTTCATCTTTAGAAATTGAAGTTTTAAGTTTTATGAATCTTAACAGACTTTCGGGACACTGGGTAAGTAGGGTCCCCATATCAAAGAAAATACATTTTTTCCTGCAGGAATAAAACATAATTATCTATTTTAAAAAATACCTTCTAGGATAGGAAGCTGTCGATAAGCTGCAAGTTTCGGTTGAAATATATTTTCCATGAGAACCCTCTCCATGAAAAATAAATCCTGTTGAAATTTTTCCGACTTCAATATCAACTCTGAATGATCTTCTTCTTCCTCATGAATTTTAGCCATAATGATGCTTTCGACATCAATTGTGGAACTGTTTTCACTCGCTGTAAAACACCAAGACAGACAGTATGAAACAGGTGCTTAATGAAAAATTAGCCACAGGATATCATTTAGATTCAGTGAATGCTTTTTTTCTGCTTTCAGGATGGCGGGTGGTGGAGGCAAGGGGACCCTCCTGCGGTTCCTAAAATTCCGTGAATTTTCATCTCCTTTTCATTTCTTAAGAGCTACGGGTAATATGGAATGTGTATGACAGCGCAGTAGATGAATTTATTCTTTTACTGATAGAGCAGTCTCTCAGAAGGTCATACAGGCAGAGATTGCTTTACGGAAAGATCAGTGAGAGAATCTTTCCTGTTAATCAATCCAACAAGCTGGTCTGGCTGTGGTGCACGTGTGACGAAGCGCTCAGGCTGACCGCCAGTCATGTCTTAAGCCTTTACTTATTGCTCTTCAGTCATGGCCAACTCTCCGTGACCCCATTTGAGGTTTTATTGGCAGAGATCCTGGAGTAATTTGACATTTCCTTCTCCAGCTCAAAACAGATGAGGAAACTGAGGCAAACAGGCTTAAGTGACTTGCCCAGCGTCCCACAGCTAGGAAATGTGAGAGTCCAGATTTGAACTCAGGAAGATGCCTGAGAAAAGGCCTTCAGATGTGGCAATTAAGAGATCACTGTTAACTTGGGGGGGGGGGCAGTTAGATGGCACAGTGGATAGAACGCCTGTTTCCTCTTCCTGAGTTCAAATCTGGCCTCAGACGCTTACTAGCTGTGTGACCCTGGGCAAGTCACTTAACCCTATTTAAGTCAGGTAAAAGCTGCAGTTGAATGATGAGGTCAGAAAACAGGGCAAAAGGGCTGAGAAGTAGATGAGAAGAGAGGAAATGGAGGCGACAGGTATAGAGAGCTTCTTCTAGGAGTTTGGCTGTGTAAGGGAAGAAAGATACAGGGCAAAAGATTACGGGGATGCTGCCATCCGTTGGTCTAGGGAAGGTTTTGTTCAAGACAAAAATCCCCCACTCCTATTTTACATGTTAGCAGCAGTGGCGGCAACAATGGCCCCTGAAATACCGCTGCCAAGCCGGGATAATATCTTTCTTAGCGGGCTTTGGTGGTGCCTAAAGGAAAATCAGCCAAAAGAAATATCCTGGGAAGAAACAATAAATTTAATAAGGACATTGTAATAGATGCCTCTGTGTGCAAAGGTCAAGTTGGCCTTCTTGCAAAAGCGACTCGAATTCTTCTGTCGCCACTAACACGCCCAAGTTAGGTGATTCGATAATTAACACATAATAATAATTATAAATAATTAACAGGTTTTGTCAGGAGACTGGGACATTGCAATAATCTACCTCAGTGCTATTGCTTACACCATCCCCTTTGCCTTAGATATTTCCTTTTCTCTTTCAAAAAAAAAATCCTGCAAAGACTTACATTAACTGATACAAAGTGAAACGAGTAGTACCAGGAGAACACTGAATACAGTAAGGGCAATACTGTATGATGATCAACTGTGAAGGACTTAGCTATTCTCAGCAATGCAATGATCTAAGATAATTCCAAAGGACTCATGATGAAAAACACTATTCATCTCCAGAAAAAGAACTGATAGAGTCTAAATGCAAATAGAAGCATACCATTTTTCACTTTCTCCATTTTTCCCATGTGTTTTTTTTTTGGTCTATGTTTTCTTTCACAACACGACTAATATGGAAATATGTTTTGCATGACTGCACATGTATCACCTGTAGAGAGGGGGGAGGGGAAGGAAAGAATTTGGAACTCAAATTTTTAAAAAACGAATGTTAAGGAAGCAAGCTGGGAAGATGGTGGGAAAGACAGACTCTCTAAAATTCTCCTACAAACAAGATAAAATATCACCTCAAAGTGAACTTGGAGCCCCAGAAATAATTAAAAGTTGGGGTAAAGCAGTTGTCCTCCTAAGACAATTTGGGAGGACCTTAGGATCTGACTTCCTGGGAGAAAGGTTTGGCCCACCTGAAGTGCAAACATCTCCAAGCAGACACTCCTGAATCAACAAACAGTAAGTCTTGGGGCAGCTGAGTTTCCCTTGGTTTCAGGAACTTACTCATCATGGACAGTGTGGGGGCTGGACATCCGGGTAGGGAAGATAGAAGGCCCCTCAGCTATTGCTGGATGCCAAGCCCAGCTGTGCTGACCAGACATGTGCCAGGCTGGGGCTATGGGTGAAGAGGAAGGAGCACATACCCGATGAGTAAAGCAGCAGAGGACTTTGTGGACTTTGCTGGCTGCGGGCCCTTACAAGACTGTAGAGTCCTTGGTTTGGGTTCCAGGGCAGAGGGGCAAGCTGAAGTGTGCAGCTGAGGGAAGGACTGGAGCAAGAGTGTTTGCGGTGGCCAGTGTAACTGGAGGGCCTAGTCCTGGCTCAGGGGCAGAGAGGAGTGCCTGAGGTTACGCCCCCAGATGCAGCTCAGAAAATAATACAAAAAACCTGAAGCCTGAGGCATCACTCTCTGCCCCCCCCCACCCCTGCCACCACCACTACCACCACCTTGGAACTAGAACCTGGCTATAATGATAAGCCACTAAAACAATGACTAAAGGAAGGAGAAAGAACCCAATCACAGACAGTACTATGGGGATAGAGAAGATCCAGGTGCATACTCAGAAGAAGATAGTGAAGTTTAAAAAGCCACTCCTGCTTCAAAGAAAAATGTCAAATGGTTGTAAGCCCAAATAAAGTTCTTGGAAGAGCTTAAAAAGGACTTTAAAAATCAGATTAGAGAGGAATAATTGGGAAAAGAAGTAAGAGCGACCCAAGAAAATAGAGAAAATTATGAAAAGAAAGCCAAACAATAAGAAAGAAATCCAAAAACTTAAGGAAGAAAATAACTCCTTAAAAACTAGAATTAGACAAATGGAAGCTAATGACATTATAAGACACCAGGAAATAATAAAACAGAATCAAAAGAATGAAAAAATAGAAGAGAAAGTGAAACATCTCATTAGAAAAACAACTGATAGGAACAGCAAGGTGGCACAGTGGATAGAGCTCCAGTCCTGGAGTCAGGAGGACCTGAGTTCAAAACTAGAAAAAAAGGAAAAAGAAAAAAGAAAAACAACTGATCTAGACTGAGGAGAGACAATGTAAGAACTGCTGGACTACCTGAAACTTAGGGTTTAAAAAAAAGGTCTAGATATGATATTATAAGAAGTTACTAAGGAAAATTGCCCTGAAGTTCTAGAACAAGAGAGTAAAATAGAAGTAGGGAAAAGTCCACCAATCACCTTCTAAATACCACCTGAAAGAGATCTCAAGATGAAAACTCACAGGAACATTACAGCCAAGTTTCAAAGCTCCCAGCTTAAGGAAAAAAAATACTACAAGCAACAAGAAAGAAACAATTTAAATATTGTGGAGCTACAGTCAGGATAACACAGGATCTAGCAGCCTCTATATTAAAAGACCAAAGGGCCTGGAACATTATATCTTAAAGAGCAAAGGAGCTGGGTTTGCAACCAAAAAGTAACTTACCCAGCAAAGTTGTATATAATCCTGAATGGGGAAAAAATGGACATTTAATGAATTGAAAGACTTTCAGGTATTTGTAACATAAAGAGCAGAAATCAATGAAAATTTAATCAATGAAAATGTAAGATTCAGGAGAAACGTAAGGTAAACATTAAAGACCAATTATAAGACACTCAATAAGGTCAGACTATTTACTTCTTATATGGGAAAATATTATCTGTACTCTTAAGGATGTTATCATTGCTTGGGTAGTTTAAGCTTGGGTTGAGTATTATGGGATGATGCGAAAAAATAAAATTGGGTAGGGAGAGGTAAAATGGGGCAATCATCTCATACAAACAAGGCAGGAATGGAAGGACTATTACGATGGAAGCAGGTGGGGTTGGAAGACTGGTGGTGCTGGAATCTTATTCTCTTCAGAATAAGGTGAAAGAGGGAATGACACCTACATCTAGAAGGGTATCAAGGTCTTCTAGATTCATAAAGAAATAGGAAGGCAAGGGGACAGAATAAGGGAGGGATTCTTAGAGGGGTGGGTAGATTAAGGTACAGGAGTTTAAGGAGAGGGAATAAGGAAGGGTTCTTTAAAAGGGTATGATTAGGGAGGTAGTGGTTAGAAGTAAATCAGATGTGTGAGGAGGAATAGGGTAAAAAGAGTGGGTGAGAAGGATAAAAGTGAGGAAAAAATAGGATGGAGGGAGATACATAACTAGTAATTATAACTTTGAATGTGAATAGGATTAACTCACCCATGGAACAGAAACAGACAGCAGAATGGATTAAAAACCAGAATCTGACAATGTGTTGTTTACAAGAAACGCATTTAAAAATAAGAGATACAGACAGAGGTAAAATAAAGGTCTGGCATAAAATTTATTATGCTTCAACTAAGGTTAAAAAAAAAAAGGGTTAGCCATCATGATCTCAGACAAAGTTAAAGCTAGACTAGATTTCATTGAAAGAAATAAGCAGGGAAGTTACAATATAAAAGGTACCATAAAAAATGAAGTAATATCAATACCAAACCTATGTGCACCAAATGCTATAGCATCTAAATTTTTAAAGGAGAAGTTAAATGAATTACAGGTTGAAATAGACAGTAATACTATAATAGTATTTAACCTTCTCCTCTCAGAATTAGGTAAATCTAACAAAAAAATGATAAAGAAGCTGGGGAAGTAAATAGAACCTTAGATAAGCTAGATATGATAGCTATCTGGAGAGAACTGAATGGGATTAGGAAGGAATACACCTTTTTCTCAATGGTACATTTACAAAATGTATCATTTACAAAAACTGACCATATGTTAGAGCATAAAAACTTCATAGTTAAATGCAGAAAAGCAGAAATAGTAAATGTATCCTTTTCAGATCACAATGCAACAAAAATAATATTCAATAAGGGACAATGGAAACATAGATTAAAAACTAATTGGAAACTAAACAACCTAACCTTAAAAGAATGAGTGGATTAAAGAACAAATCATAGAAATAATAATTTCATTAAAGAGAATATCAACAATGAGACA